ACATGGAGTTAGCGTATTACGGTGACATTACACAAATGCATTCCTTAATTCCTGTATCGGCTGAGGTATGCGTTGTTGGTGGGTTTGTACTGAATAAGTACCTCGTGACCCCTCTGGCTGATCTTAGTTGATGGTAAGTTAATACGTAGTGATCCTGTATGTGTACAGGTTTAGAATACCGTAGGCAAAGCTTGGAATCGTGTTGCCCTATGATGGTAAATTCCCTGGTCATGGGAAACCAGGAAAGCCAAGTATATGGTGGTTTGAGCATGGTGTTTGTAACTGAAAACATGTGGTGTTGAATGCCCGGGAGACAGGGCCGGACTGGCCCACCGGGATACCGGGAAATTTCCTGGTGGGCCGGCACACTAGGGGGCCGGTGCGCGGCTGCCTAGTGTGCACCAGCCCGGGCTGCAATTACAGAGTGACCGGCAGGAGGGGATGCGCTCCCCTCCTGCCAGTCACAGAATGTAGCGTGGCCGAGCAGGCAGACCGCGGTAGGGGAGCTTCTGTTCCCCTACCCGGTCTGACAGGAAGCAGGAAGCGAGAACGCTCCTCCCGCGAGCAGGCAGGTTGGAGCATTGCTGTGCGTTACCATGGCAACGCTCCGACATGCCTGCTGCTCTCGCGGGAGGAGAGCGAAGTCAGCCTGCAGCCAGAGGAGCTGCAGGCTGAACAGCACGTGCCACCACTGGACCACCAGGGATCGAAGAGTAGCCATCCCCCCTATCCCCTGACCAAAGATAAGGTGGGAGGGGGGTAAAATGAAGCTTTTTAAAATATATATCAATGCCCATACACACACTACACTCCCTCCCCCCCACCAACAGCACCCCCCACCAACAGCACCCCCACCAGCAGCACTCCTCCCCACCAGCAGCACCCCTCCCCCCACCAACAGCACCTTCCCCCCCACCAACAGAACCCTCACACACACAGAACCCTTTCACGCACACAGAACCCCTCCATGCTCACAGAACCCCTTCACGCACACAGAAACCCTCCACACACACACACAAAACCCCTCCACGCTCACAGAACCCCTCCACACACACATAACCTCTCCACGCACACAGAACCCTTTCACACACACAGAACCCCTTCACACACACAGAACTCCTTAACACACAGAACCCCTTCACGCACACAGAACCCCTTCACAAATCACATAACCCCTCCTCGCTCACACAGAACCCCTTCACGCACACAGAACCCCATCCACGCTCACAGAACCCCTCCACACCCACACAGAACCCCTTCACGCACACAGAACCCCTCCAAGCACAAGAACCCCTCCGCGCTCACAGACCCCCTCCGCAGCACACAAGAACCCCTCCCGCACAGAACCCCTCCACACTCACCAGAACCCCTCCCGGCTCACAGGGCCTCCCACGCTCACAGAACCCCTCCACGCACACAGAACCCCTCCACGTACACAGACCCCTTCACGCTCACAGAACCCCTCCACACACACACAGAACCCCTCCACGCACACAGAACCCCTCCACACACACACAGAACCCCTCCACACACAAACGGCACTCTCTCCACACACACACACTAAACCGCTACACACACTGCACCCCCTCCAAATACACACCGCACCCCCCCACACACTGAACCGCTACACACACTGCAATCCCCACACACTGAACACACACACTGCACCCCTCACTGTAGTCTGTGTGTGTGCCTGTATTCACCAGTCTGTGCGCGTTGACCAGTCTGTGCACGTGTAATCACCAATCTGTGTGTATATTCCGCAGTCTCTATATGTGTGTATTCAGCAGCCAGTGTATATATTCAGCAGTCTGTGTGTGTTTTTTGCGGTTTGTGTGTATTTACCAGTCTGTCTCTGTGTGTAAGTATTGTATTTGTTGGAGGTACCAATAAATATAAGCCTAATTTTATTGATAATTTATATTTTTATTTCTTTGAGTGGTTGCATAGTCAGGGCCCCATTGCATTGGTTTGCCCAGTGGTCTATTATGCTGTTACGATGGCCATGGTCTAGGGTATGTGTGTGCTCTGATGATCATGCTCCTACAAAATGTAAATGAAAAGACACTCATTTGAGTACCAGGAAGGGGATGAACAGTAACAGCCACTTCTGGCCAAGAAGAGATTAAAAACTTATGTATTTCTCTGTTTTGTTTTGGGTTTTTTTAGCGATTTTTGTATCGCTAATGGGTGTCCAATTTTTATATTTTCAAAATCTGGTCACCCTAGACACATGGAAGGTTGAGAGGGGGCATAGGGACACATGGAGGACTGGGAGAGAGGGCTAATAGGACATATGTGGGGGCTACTAGATTATATGCAAATGCGTCTGCTTACAATAAATCTGCTCTGCTTTATTTTGAAGCCCTATAAGTGCTTTCTTTCATGTTTGAGTGCTAGTTTTCAGTTTTTTTCCCGCTTCCATATCTGCGCACTATGCTGGCGCGATGCATTACGGAGCTGGTATGGAATTATTTTCCAGGGCTGCTTTTCATTCCCAGTCCGGCCCTGCCGGGAGATATAACTTAATGGTGCTGTGTGACATTTGTTTTGATGTGGCAAAAAATTACGAAAGTCCCCCAACGTTGTATTCTTCAACCAGTTTGTAAGGTGGTGGTCTGACATGACCTTTGATATATGCAGTAAGCTCTGTCATGCAGTGTGCGTATTCTTTGAGGGCCAACTGTGTTAATGTCTGCTGTGACTTAGCCACTTTACTATTCCATAGGTAATTCTTGGAGTTGGGGAGCGATCGTGACCATAGGTGAGGCAGTTGTTAGGGAACTCCTGAACGCCTTAAACTAAAGACTAGATAACTGGTCAGCAGCTGTATTGTAAGTTTCTGGTACGTGGTAACATACCAGATAAAAATTGGTGACAGGCTTCCCCTCCGTTAGTCGTCTGATAAATTCAAAATAAGGGATACCAGACCGGACTGGTTTATGACGTGGCCAATTGACAAATTGTCAGAGACCTTGAACCGGTCTGCTTGCCCATGAATGACCCCATGTTGCTGCTGCGGCTATGATGGAATATACCTTGAAGCGTGCAGAGTTCTTATGGAACCTTTCGATCTGGCTTACTTCGTCTGCCACCTACTTCATAGCCAACTGTCCCCTGAGGTTGCAGCAAGCTCTGCGTAAGCCATTGCATCGGGGCGACTATGTGGATGAACCTAGTTAAAGATATATATATGTATAGGGAAGAGACACCTAAATATATTAAGCCTAGGTGAGTTCCCGCTGGGTGTCTTTCTGCTAGAAGAACCTAAAAAGTGTATGAAGTACGTGGGACATTTCTAGTTTGATCGCGTAAGTGTTGTCAATGCCGAGAAAGGGCCGTATAGGGAGGATTTGAGCGGTCTAACGTGACCTTGGTCGTATGTAACTGCTCAACTGTGGGGCCGAATTGAGTCGTGGTGGATTGCCCGCAGTGGGTCGTCTGTAACGTGAGAGTTATGGCCTATTGAGGGCCACATTTAGAGGTGGTATGATAAGCAGGGCCGGCGCTTCCTATAAGGCGAACTAGGCAGCCGCCTAGGGCGCCATATAGGAGGGGGCGCCCTGCGCCCCCATCGCCGGCCCTTTAAATGTAACAGCCGCCTGAGCGCTCTATAGAGAGCTCTCAGGCGGCTGCCGCAGTGCCTCACCTCCCCTGCCCTGCTGTAGCGTGGCCGAGCTCCTTTCCGGTCCGCGACCTGGCTGGACTGACAGGAAGTGCACACTAAGTGTGCACTTCCTGTCAGTCCCGCCGGGTCGCGGACCGGATTGGAGCTCGGCCACGCTACAGAAGGGCAGGGGAGGTGAGGAGATGATTATAGGGGAGGGGGGGGAGGAGATTATTGGAGGGGG